CAATGGTGGCGTGCGAAACGTCTGCCCTATGTCCCCATTTCTCTTCAACTCCGAAATCGAGGACATCTTGTCGAAATTTGGCCTAGTGATTCTGCCGAGTGAGCGAGTGACCAACTTAGATTATATTGATGAAAAGGCCTTACTTATTGATGATTCAGTTCCGATTCATTGGTTGGCTTTTGAAGCATCAAAGTATGACATGAGGTTCGCCTCATCGAAATGTAAAGTATCGTCCCAGGATCGGCCCATACCTGCTCCCGTGCTCACCTTTGAAGGTGCACAACTTGAACAGGTAGATGGTTTCGTCTATCTTGGGAGCTGTGTTTCAGCTGGCGGCACTATCAGTAAGGAAGTTTCTCTTCGCATCGCTAAAGCCCGATCAGGATTTGGCAATATGACGTACTTGTGGCGTCGTCGCGACGTCGCATTTTTGATAAAGGGCCGCATGTACAGCACATCTGTTCGTTCAGTAGTGTCGTATGGGAGCCAGTCCTGACCAATTCGCGTGGAAGACATGCGTTGTCTTTCTGCCTTCGACAATGACTGTTCAAGGAAGCGGCAACATCGAGTTCACAATGACGTTCGAAGTCGCGTTTAGGGGAATGCAACTATTCCCTTCGAAAAAGTGACTGTTACGCCAGTTCGGATGGCATGGTTACGTCCTACGCATGGCGTTTGAGCGTCCACCGCGTCGCATTCTATTCGCTCGTCAAGCCCCGGGCTGGAGGCGACCGCACCACCGCACTACTCGGCCACCGGCCGAGTGGTATGCGCGCCTGGTTTGCAAACATAAGGTCAACGGTTCGAATCCGCGTAGGGGCGGGCGTCCTCGCGGTATACTCAGCCCACGCGCGACTGGTGGTGGTCGTGCGGCAGCGAAGCGCCGTTACGGCGTACAGCTGGCGATTTATTATTTTTTTATTTGCATGGTGGTTAGCCATCCAGTTGGTGACAGCAAACGAAATCGTTGACGTCACGTCTAACCACTGTTGGACCAGTACGACTTCCTGGATGGAAACCCAAGGATTAGGAATGCTAATTACTTAGCACACTTGAGGACGGTGTGCAACCGGAAGCAGTGGAAGAACTGTGTACAGAATTATACTGATTCACAAGTTTGATCCATCAAACTGTGAAAATGACAGAAAAACTAAAATCCGCGCGTGACAGACAAACAAAAATATTTTCGTTTCTATTTTTGTTCAAACAGTATGTTCTTTTGTTATATAGCTTTTTTCGATTGTTCCATGTCCGATTCTCAGGTTGGGTATATATATATATATATATATATATATATATATATATGTATGTATATATATATATATACCCCTACATATGATTTGGTCAATTCACTTATTCTGCTGCATATTACGTGTCAATTTTGCGTTGTTATTTTCCTTCAACTTCTATGCTGGTCAAAAGTATAAGGCGATCACTCAAGGGACTGATAAAAAGTGGCCCAATTGGACTGGTGGTCCCCATAGATGGGTTCATGCATAAGGGACATTACTCATCATCGAGTACAGATGTGTACTACACTTTCAAATACTAGTTTGATCTGTAGACAGACAACTTCCACTATAAGTTGTAGTCCTCTAATTAAAGCCGTAACATTTGTAATGTATACGGTGGGATACATAAGGAATAAAAATACAATAAAGTATTTGGTAAAAATTTTTAACAACTAACCTACACACCTGCGTAAAGCAGAAGGTTTAGAAAACACACCTTTCTATTGTCCGTATCATTTTCCACCAAATAAAAAACTCCAGTTTAGAATTCTGTTGCTTGGTAGATGAAATAAAATAAATTTCGTTTTTCATTCATGTTGGTGATACTTTCTAGCATGTCAGTGTGTCCGCCAGTTATTACGTAGGAGCGTAAAATATCGACATCACACTGTGCAACCCCGAACCTAGACGTTGTCAGAACGTCTGTAGAATGTTGTTTCTGCTCGTCATCTGCTTTAATTCTCACATCCTCAGCTGCTAAAATGGAAGTGGCGGGGAGGCCCTTACCAGTTGATTTCCTTTGTGTTCAATATTTGGGGATTAGAATGAATCAGTCAGTCAGTTTGCATGCAAACAATTCCTCTGAGAGGCTGCGGGGTGTACAATTTTCTCATCTATCTCAGGTCCAGATAGGATTGCTGCCTCAGAGCCTGTATGCGGGACAAGGAAATCACGTTTTACAAAAACACTTAGGGACTGTTGAGTTCTACACCTCCTTCAATGTGGTAGCGATCCAGAACACGACATCCATTCATGAGTTCAGCTCTGTACATACCTTCGTGTGATCCCATGATATTAATAAGATGTAAAAGCTGTTTACTTCCTAAACTTTAAGTGCCTGAATGACACACCGGTCGAAGGATTGAACTGACGTAGTCGTGTTAAGTGGAAGAAACTGCAGTTTGACATTCATCAGCTGGATTCTGGGATCGCAAGTGGCATTGTTAACAAACAAAATGACGTTACGTTTTTTTTGCAGTAAGAACAAATTGGCCTCATTTGCAACAAAATACGCTTTTGTCTCCATTTGAGGCTTTCCTGCCATTCTTTTTTTACTATTGCTACGTTGTTTTCAAAGTCATTTAAATATTCGGCTTCCCTCTTCAATGTTCGAAGCAGTTGTGTCTTTCTTACATCGAAATGTTTTGCCAAATTTCGTGAAATTTTGCCTTCTTAACTTTGTTGAATCACTGTGTTAATGCCTTTTGATTTGCAGTTTTGAATTAGCCAGTTTGTCCTTTGTCAGAGTTTTCAAACAGAAAATGTTCCTCGCTAAGTGGACAGAATGCTGTAGTTTCTAGTTATCTTCTGTAATTTATACAGACCGAATACTCGCATGGCTAGACAACCACACACAGTTTCCCCATAGTATCCGGGATTTACCAATGACGTGTGCTTTTGTGGACAAATCAAAGGCTCAGTAGACACCCATTGACAAGCGCAGACAGGTAATTTACCACTGCACTGATAGTGTCTACTCTTGCTGTTTAGACAGGATAAGCAGAATGAGTAGCCAGTTACGACACCTCGAGATGGAAGCAAAACCGTCTGCGCAATACGGTGGCAGACTTTCGTGACACTTCAAGACTAAATCTCATCCAGTCGAGCTATAGGTGATCTGCCTTTATAAGTGCTAGAACGTCTGAGGACCACACAAACGTAATCATGGTTGCGTTGGACTGGTGGACGCGGTAAGCAAGTTAAAACCACTGAGACTACGTAGGAAAGACGTCGGGATGTTTTTCACTAGTCCCCACACACCGCTCAGTGAGACCAAGCTCGCTGAACAAGGTAAGTTGCATGAAGCTGGTGTTGGCTACACGTTCTACTGGGCGGGCAACGCCACTTCAGCACCACGTGATCATGGGGTCGGATTTGCAATATCCGATCGCCTCCATGGCCAGCTCGTGGGTGAGCCAACTGGCTTCAGCGCGCGACTGATGACTGTTCGCCTACGACGCGGAAGAGGATGTTTGCCACCTTTATGAGCACATACGGTCTGACTACGTGTTATAATAATGACACGCGCCATCGATTTTACACTCAGCTATCCTCCGTGATACGGTCTGTGCCGGGGAGCGACCAACTATTTCTGCTGGGTGATTTCAACGTGCGTGTTGGGCGTGATGCATCGGCGTGGACAGATGTTATCGCTCCGCATGGCATTGGTTCAGTGAATGCGAACGGTGACAGGCTACACTCACTGTGTGTCACTCACGGCCTGACGATCACGAACATTCGGTTTGCACTGAGTACGAGCGATATAGTAACTTGGACGCACCCAAGGAGTGGTCACGCTCACCTGCTCAACTATGCCACCGCACGTCAGCGTGACGTGCGTGAGGTGCGCATGACACGTGTACTGTCTGGAGCTGAGTATGACCCTGACCACAAATTGGTGCGGACCAAATTGTACATCTGCATGTGGAAAAGTACGTACTGTGTGCCTGCCGTGAATCGGAGGCGTAAATTTAACTTTTCTCCCTCGGTACTATGCAGAAGCGTATTGACCTGGAAAAGGCGATGGCTGCACGCCTGTGTGATGTGGAATGCATAGCCAGTGGGCTAAAGGACTTAACTGTGAAAGAGACCACCGGTAAAACCATCAGAGATTGGAGGAAAATGCAAGCTGTTGATGTTACCTAATACAGAGGAAAAGATATCACATGCTTTTCAGATGCGTATTAGCTACCTGGTTGAGTATAAAAGCGACGATTCGATTTAAAATGAAACAATAAATCCATTCTAAGATAAGCCGTAGCTCTAGGAACCAACCTTGTCCACTACAGTGATGGAAGATGAGCTGCGATACATTGTGACAGGTAACATGGTGGTGGGCTGCCATTACTCGGAGGCTCATTGTTGTTGTGTCGATTAAAGGAACAGCAAGAACCTCCTACACGATGGAATTCCAAATGCGCTAGTGAACCACCAGGTGTCGAATTGCAAGCGCATGAGAGGGACAACCGACGAATAAGTGACGAAATAAGATCGTGTTCAAATACCCAGGAGGAGACGCAAGATCGTGGAGCGAGTGGAACAGTGTAATTAAGTTGACAAGTGTGAACTACATTGCCGCCGTTAGAATCATCGAGGTACACAAAAGAGCAGAAATACGAAGCACAAATGTTTGGTGACTGTAACTTCAATATGCTGCGCAGTGTAAGTGTAACTAAGAGCCGAGGCTGGGGCAAAACAAGTGCTGTGAGTACAAAAGCAAACTTAACGGTAATGGTCATGGCGGTGATCCTTGTGTTCAATTGATGCCATAGGAGTACAAGTTCCGCCATAAAAATAGAAAGGATCATGCATTCAACAAAGCTCTACAAAGGAATTGGTCATCGTTGTAACGCCTAGAACGGACCGGTAGGTGGCCATAAAACTTACGGTTCGGTAGATACTACCGAGAAAACGGAAAATTACACAGATAAAGCAACATGGAATGAGCAGCAGAAACAGGGCGGATATATTGTCCCGGGTAGCACTTACATATAGTACCGGAGCTCTGAGTGACACGTGCCGGTGATGAAGGTGCTGTAGAAGTGGGAGCTTGTTGTTGTTGCTGTTGCGATTTCGCCAAGATTCGCCCGATAAGTCTCGCTGCCTCCATTCGTACTGCATAGTTGGACCCATCCATGCAACGAAAGCACAAACTCAGCACACTTTCCATTTCGTGATTGTAGAGGGGAGCGTAGTGTCCACACAATTCATAAAGACACTGTTCGGGTAGGAAGAGTGTAGAAAGAAACACAGACAACGATGATTTGTCGGAATCCGTGGGAAATTACGTATGTGGTGCAGTGGGAGAGTAGTGTATATCAGAAGCAGGCTGTACGGACGATTCGGTGCCACGCGACCACAAACAGCTACGTGCTGGCTAGGCATACTGCGAGGTTTCCCGCACCTATGCAGATGCGAACCAGTGAGCTTTGGGTTACCACGAAAACGCCTCATATTAACCGGCCCGAAAAAATAGACAGTGAGAATGAAACCAAATGATATTGGACTTATGCATATGAAAATTTCGCAAGTAGCTGAGACGAAGTTTAGCATTCATTGTCAGAAATCAGGCAGTACCATAAAGAAGAAAGCACACGCCAAAAAGAGGACATGTTACCATTACGGAACACACAACCAGTAGAGAATCAAATAAGGAATTCGGATCAAGTGCAGAAATACTGTGCCGAAATAGAAATGGCTTAAAAAACTGCCAGCCGCTGGCGGAAATGTGATTCGATGAAGTGCGCACTTATTTGAACTGTTGGATCAAGGGGTTCTGAAAAATTCAGTATAGACAATACAGTACAACAGCGAAAGAATTCGGTGGCACTGCTCCTGAAATGCTTGAAATAAGATGCAGATGTTTGTAGGATGTATGCTGCAATTCGTTTTCATACGCGCGACTTTTCACACAGAAACCTTGAGAGAAACCGAATCAGTCTCTAACTCGAAATAAATATTAAAACACAACTACGCGGATCGATTGGAATATGGTGATGAGCTTAGACCGTACAATGGCGCGTGGACCACGCGCTTCCGTGCTCTGTTTAGCTATATTGAGTGACACTTATAAATGGCCTTCGTCGACATTTACACTACATAGTTTGGTGGATTATAATCAATGGGATTCTCTAAGCACTCGTTACATCGGATGGCGGGGAGAGGTTAGTGGCACTTCCCTAAAATCCGTGCCATACAGGACGATAGTTATGGACCATTAGCTCACTTCGATTAGTGAGAAGTACAAATGCCACAGGTTGCATCGGAGAGTGAGAGAGAGTAAACGGTTGCCCATTGGTGTTAGGTGAAATGCACAGCCGTCAAGACTCAGCAACAGTCAACTCTGGCGATGTGATCGAAAAACATGTGTGAGTAATTCTGAACCTTCCGAGGACAGCCTAAAGTGAATTCCAACATGACTCTGCGTAAAATCCCTGAGTCAAAGGGTTCGGTTAGGGACCCGAAGTTATTATGTTATCTGGTGGGAACACCGCGTGAGAAACGGGCTTGTTCGACGCCTCGTTTAACGGTACAGGAAGAGGCAATGAACCGTTCAACAACGTTATTCCACGCACCAGGCTCTGATGGCTCGACCACGTGTTACGTATGCCAGCCCACCGACCCCCACGACGTGCGTTGTTTGCTCACCGAGGGTGTGGATGGAAGAAGAGGAGAGGTGGCCAAGCAATGACTTGGTCGAGAGGAATGAAGGCCCTCAGTTCGAAGCTGGTCTCGGCTCCCTAGTTGAGGCCCGAAAGAAGATGAACACGTTTGACTGAATACACTTGATGACATGGATAGGAGCCGACCTCAATAGTGTTCGTGCTCAGTTTCTTTGTCCCTCCCCATCCCTCCTAGCCTCCCCTTCCAACCACGAACTCATTTCATAGGATAATATAAATTTGCATAACAAAAATTTTTGCTACATAGTAGCCGGCTGGTAGGTTTCCGGTACGATGACCATCCGTTACTGGTAGCTCAGCTGTCATACATCTGTTGCATGTTTTCGATGTATTGCGGCACAGTAGCTGAGGTGTTTCCCACCTCTATCCAACGTGTATACTGATGATGATGAAGTGTTGTCTAATGCACTAGGTTCCTGACGCAATGATTAGCTATGGTGAAACCATAACAAAGATCTATAGGAATGTGATACAAATCACAAAACTCTGTCAACGCTTGTCGTTTCTTTCTTTTATCTCTTTAACAGATCATACAAACTTCTCCATCCTGTTTAGTCAGCAAGAGGCGCTACAAAGAGCAGCTATAAGCCAGGTCAGCAAGTGTTTCCAACCAAACATGTTCATAGTCTTTTGGACCCCAATCAGGGTTCGGGAGAATCACTCGAAGCCAAATCGTCGGATGCCTTCCACTCCTCTTTTTCCAGACAACGGTCGCGCAAATAACGTACGTCAAAGGGGTCAGTGTACTGTCATGTGTAACACGTGGCCCAGCCATCGGAACATGGTGCATGGAAATAGTGGTGTGGATCACTTCCTCTACCCGTGCAACAAGCAAGGCGCCGAACATGCGCATTGCACATGCGGTGTCCCCACCAGATGAGGTAAACATCGAAAGTACCAGTGTAATAGAGACGTAAGCGAGCCAAATTTGGGTATCGACTGAGAATTGATCGGCCAGCAATTACCAGTCCGCGTAAAACGAATCGAACTATACCGTCAATATGATAAACCCGGGGAGTGGAACTCACTCACACTGGCTGAAAACCGGACGCACAAAAATGAGCGATCTTGACCTTCTAAATTAGCATGTTTCGGCTAGCTATAAATACAGTTAACTTATGGTGTAGACAGACTCCCTGTTTACCGAGCCTTGGACTTCTGTATTCCGTCGGTTGGGTTGGCGCGTGACTGAGAAGGCAGACAGTCGCAGTCTCATAGGGCAGCTAGCAACAGTACAACAGTCGTCAGTGGCAGAGAGCAGAGGTAGAGAAGAAGCGTTACAACAGTGGCGACGGAGGTGGGATACAATCATGGCCATTTCATTCGAGCAGATGCAGTCCATACTTCAGCAGCGGCAGCTTCAGTTCGAAAAATCACAGCGGCAGTTAATTCAGTTGCTATCAGAAAAACTCAACATTCAAGTGGGATGGGAACCGGAACCGAGGTTAGCATCCCAGGAAATTGTATCTGGATGCCACAAGCTGCTCAGTTTGAATCATGACCGAGAAATGATTGGAGCTTCAGATCACAGAGAAGAACCCCAGCCCTGTCATACAGTCATTTGTGGCCAAAATGTGAATGGAAATGTGCCGAGCCGGAAGCCCCCGACTGCATTATGTAACGGTGGTGGGAGGCATTCTGCTAGAAATTTCGCCCACAAAATTCATCATTGTCAAAAGGCGCACCAATTCAGATGTGTGTGTACTTCAAGGTTACAAGCGAGTTCCAAATTCAAAAGAAACAGGTATCGCGACACAGTGAGAGAGGCGACTTTTGCAGTATTTTGTGCAGACTTTCAGGGAAAAGGAAATATCTCACAGTGAAGCGCAAGAATGTTCCGGTATCGCTGCGGTCAGAAACATTGCGTGCTATCAAGAGCCTTTCTTGTGCCACTCGGACAAGACTTGGCACGTCAGTCAAACTTATAAGTCTAACAGTTCAAAATGCTTCATGGAACCCTATGCAGGTGAAAGGAAGAATCGCCTGTGTACTCAAGCCCAAGGATTTGCAATTCTATGGAAATCTTCACCCAACATATTGTGCCAATGTTTATCTGTCCGGAAGCAATTGGATTACGGAGTTAGATTTACTCAAAGAGTCACTAAGTCATATGAGTTCGGTAACGACTGTTACTCTCTGCAACACTGACCATACCTGTTCCAAATTCTTCGCTGGTTACAAGTTACCACTACGGATGACACTGGTGTCTTGGCCGAAGCCCGAACCGCCTTGGTCGCGGATCCAAGTGAACCTAGGTGGATTCCCACGTCGGAAGAGCTGAGCCTCCAGGTAACCCACTTTTTAAGAGAGGGAGGTGTTACGGAGAGAAAGCTTACAGCCAGCGATCAAGCCGAGAGCAGTGGCGTAGAAGCGGATCGATCTACAACTAGAGATCGAACTCGAGTACAGATCAAAATGCGAATCGATGTGGAATCAGCGGCAAGTTGGGTTATGAACTTGAGCCATTTCAGTTGTATTAATTAACATCAATTAGCATCTCCAATATCATCACGTTAGTAGTTGTCCACAACCAATTTATTGCGCCATGCTCTCATACAATACCTCTCTCTCTGTCTACCTAGTTCTGGCCTTTTGTATTCCGTCGGTTGGCTGGGCGCGTGACTGATCAGTCAGACAGTCGTAATCTTAAGGGTCAGCAATCAGCAGTACAACAGTCGTCTGGAAAGAGAGCAGAGGTAAAGTAGAAGCATTACAACACTGAAGAAGAAGCGTTACAACACAGTGGTTGGACGCAACTAGCCTTTTTAAGTCTGTCGATTTGATGGGTAAGGTTTCGTAACCGTAGACTCCGCCCTTCCGTGAAAATGATGTGGTACCGGCGTTATAAGTGGTGAAGATTACCAAAAGCAACCCGAACCTATGCTTTGTGATTTGTTATCTCAGTTTATATTCCACAGATAATGAGACAAAAGCTTAGGTGGTTGAAGTACTGAATTAGTTTTAACTAATCCAGACCAGAGGACAGTGCGGAGCTTGGTCCTCACCAATCCTGGAGTAAAGCTTTGCATGACACAGTACGAAACGAGCTGCAGCCAGTGCTAATCGGATGAGTGCGGTTTAATTCATTTAGAGATTCAAGAATTAAATATCGACGGCGCGTTAAAAACCGAGAAGTTAATCACGTGGAAGGGACTCCACGCTTTCAAGTCGAGTTCTATGAACGTTGTTTTCATAGCTTTGTCAACAGTGAAGTTAGAAAGGAAAGGTGACAGCTAGCACCTGTCTCACACCACAGGAGATATTGAAAGGCAGCGACAATCAGCATATGCCTTCAATGTACTTGGACTATGCGCGCAATGCGCCCGTATAATATTTGTACATTTCCCGGGTATACACTTGCGAAAGAACACACCGATTCACCAAACTGGAGGCACTTTTAATGTAGGTCGATAAGATACAGCATCAGTCCTAAAAAGAAACCAAACTTCAGAATGATGTAGTAATGTGCCTACAGGCTAATAAGGCCTGTTTCCATCAAAGTATACCCCTCATCTACTTATATAAACAGCTCTCA